GAGCACCCCCCTCAAATAAGCACCTACACTCTGATAAGTGCCCTTCCCTGAATTAGCACCAACACCCCCTTGGCCATAATGTCAAACGAGCACCCCCCTCAAATAAGCACCTACACTCTGATAAGTGCCCTCCCCTGAATTAGCACCAACACCCCCTTGGCCATAATGTCAAACGAGCACCCCCCTCAAATAAGCACCTACACTCTGATAAGTGCCCTTCCCTGAATTAGCACCAACACCCCCTTGGCCATAATGTCAAACGAGCACCTCCCTCAAATACAATGTAAGCACTCCTCACCTCCCTCACTTTCTTAAATATTAGGAATAGAAGGAGAACCTTTTTTCATTATCACCTTATTTATACCTTTTTCAACTTCAACTACAGTGGAATTAATATAAGAGAATAGTTTCTTTCCATTTTAATCACTTCCAGATATTTCTATCTCCATGTGCTTGTAGAGTTCCTTTAATGTGCATTAACTGTTCTTGAACATTTTTTTTCCTAGCTATTGCCACAGTAACTTAATAAGTCCCCCCTCAGTAAGGCATCCTCCTTCCAGTAATCACCCATCCCTTTGGCCAGAAGTTTAGGTATTAAGCACCCAGGTGCTTATGCAAGGAAATACGGTATTTAATGTCCCTAAAAATCTCATATAATGAGTTTACCCTATACTGTCAATCAGACAATAAACAACAACTTTTCACTGGTAAATAGGATACTGGCTGCTGCACAAGATTAGAAGCTCCACACGGATAGAGCCCGGCTTCTGGCGAGCAACAGACCCAATTTATTGATTGTAACGGCAATCATGATACATGATAAACTAGTGTGCCTGCTACCCGTCAGGAAAAACCCCCTTTATTTTGGAGGAAACCTGATCCCTCCCAAATGTAGAGCCAGGCACTTAACAACAACCTTGAGGGAGAAAGGTTATCAAATGACAAGAACATGAAAACAGAATGAAAAGTGCACTTAGTAAATAAAATAAAACTAAAGAAGAACCTGCAGGTTGCAGCAATGCCAGTGTAGAATGATTTCCCTCAGGAAAATCGTGCCAGCACATGCTCTCATCTCTGATGTTGTCATAGCAACTGTCAAAACTTTGGTGAACCGTGAAAACATGAATTTGCTGCTATTCTTCGAACCGCAGCAAATAGTAAAATGTTGCAATCCTTATGCTTCTCACACTTGGTAAAAAGTAATAAAATAAAAAAAAATAATAATAGTTGCCCCCTTTCAGTTCAATTGTTACGGTATTTTCTCAACCACCAGAAAAGATACAACTCATACCAACTCAACTACTTTATTAACTGACGTAATAATCTTACTATGGAGCAATACCAATACCAATACAATAACTAACATCTTATCCTAGCTGAGCCCTCTACAAAACTATAACCTCAGTACACTACTGCACAACTCACAGTTCTCTTCAGTGATCCTCATATCATATCGATGTCCACTTAAACCTTCTCCAATGTAGCCTTCCATACGGCTGACAATTCCAGTAACAACACTAGCTCCTGGGCTCTTCGCAACAGCACTAACTCACTGAAAAAAGGCCTCACTTTAACAGATCACAACTCCTTATATATGTTTTACAAAATGTTCTAGGGATCTGTAATACAACTATTTTTAGTATCATGATCGACATCACTATTGCATCATAACAAAATATGCTGACTAAGGGTCCTGTCCTAGAAAGTTCCATTAAAAGTTCTCAATGAGTCAGCATGACTAAGTGTTCTAGAAACTTCCTCAGTTCTATTTTTAGCAATTCCGTAACGCAACGCACTCTCCATAACACAATGAAGTGTCAATTGTATAGACACATTTATCTGTTATCTCTCCCATAGAAAGCAATGAAAATAAAATGTTAATGGAAATGAAACTAGAAATTTGATCCCCAAATTCAAAAACAGAACCTGAGGACAATAATTTCTAAACAAAAGAAGGTCATGGTAAATAATTTTGAGTTGTTAAATGAAACCAATATATACAAGTTAAATAATTATCTTTTCTTTAGCTTCCCATCATGCACCCATCTGCAATGCTCAGCTGATCTTTGCTTTGACTAACTGTGCTCGAAATTCAGAAATTTGACTCAGTTGATAAAACCCAATGATCTTGTAATACCCTATACTGATGCAGCACCACAGTTTATTTTTTCCTAATTAGAAACTTACCCCCTTTATTAATCTGCCAGAATACATTTTTCCCACCCTTAAGTGAGATGTGTTGACATGTAAAGTCAGTTGAATGTTAACGTTATTAATTTTAGTCTATCTCAATCTGTCATTAGCTTGGAAGGAGTGCTTTTTCATTTCATTTCTTTTTTTTGTTTGTTTGTTTGTTTTTAAAATTGCTATTTTCTATCTGGCAGCAAGTGCATTGGCTGGTCTGGGTGGCTATTATCCTACTATGGTTCTTGCACTGCTCGCTTATGTTGCAGACACATCCCCACCAGATTCCAGAGCATTAAGGCTTGGCATTCTCGAAGCTATTGCTTTTATTTGTGGAACAGTAGTATACTTTAGCAGTGGAGTATGGATCAAGAAATATGGCTATGAGTCTGTATATCTGGTGATGCTGGCATTGCATTTGCTGAATCTTGTGTATGTTGTAATCTTTCTCCCTGAATCATTACCACCAGAACTTAAGAAGAACACAGCAGTCTTATCATGCAACAGCATCAAATCCATTTTTACAGTTTACTTCAAAAATAGATTAGGACGCTGGGTACTTATCACTCTCCTCATTTGTGCAGTTCTTGTTTACTTAGCTGGATTTGTTGTACAGACATTGTTGGTTCTCTTTGGTAAGAGAACTCCTCTTTGCTGGGGGTCATCGGTTATTGGTTATTTTCTTGGGACAACATTGTTTTCTAAAGCTGTTGGAGCTGTGGTTGGTATCAAACTTTGTTCATGTTTAGGTGTCTCTAACTTTGGTGCTGTTCAAATGGGAATAATTTTTCTCATGGGAAGTCTAATAATGATTGGATTTTCCAGGACCACATTGGAAATGTTTTTAGGTAAGGCAAATTAGTTTGTTCTTGACATTTTAATTTGATAAGCACCTTCTACATGGGTAACTTCCAGGAAACTTATGAAATACCATGATTAAAGTTAGTGTTTTTTAACAATTAGGTTTGTTAAAACCTCTTGCAATCTAACATCAGTATGCATATTCTCTATACTGTTCTCTTTACATTTGTAAGGTGCTGAAAAGGATTTGTTCAACAATCAAGAGCTCCTTTATTTGGTTTCTATCTCCTTTTCTCTCCCGATTTCAATGTTTGATTCAGGGTGATATACAGGGCTCAACACTAACAGTAGCCTGCTAGCCCCAGACTAGTAGAAATTCAGTTTTGGCCAGTGGTTTTCGATTTCCATCAGCCCAGTTTGGCTAGTAAACAAACTGAAATTGTGGTAATGTCTGAGATGTCACTAGCCACTTGGCTAGTCAGTTGAAAATTTAGTGTCACACCTTGATATAAATTATGTAAGGAGAAACTGGATGCTGGTCACTGTCTTATGAGTGGAAGGTTATTTGGAGTTTGAGTGAAAAATCAGAGCACGCCTTTAACGCTATCTTCTGTTTTAGTATATACTAAAACATATATCATTTTAAACTTGTAGCAACCATTGTTGGTTTCTTTAGTGGAGTTCCACAACCGTGTATCAGGGCTGAAATGTCCAGGTTGGTCAACAAAGAAGAGCAAGGTACATACCCTAAATACTAAGTGAGACATTGATACTCCTTTTTGGGGAAAAAAAAAATTCAAACCTAATAACAAGTTGTTACTTCTTTATGCATACACTGTCCCTTATACATGTGAATCACTTTGTATTAAAAAACCTTCTGACTCTTTACACCCTGTCATCAGTGTGAATATTCTCCATACCGTTCTCTATACAATTTCTAAGGTGCTGACGAGGAGAATTTGTTTTAAAAATCAAGAGCTTTCAATATGAAAGTGATATTTGTAGTAATGAAAACTACTTAAGCAGTAGTGAAAGTAAGGCCTGAAAGAAAATTCAGGCCTGTTCATGAACTGTATGTGAATTGCAGCTTTATTTTCACCACTACTTAATGTTCATTAATGCAAAGATCGCTTTTGTATTCATTTCTTAAAATGCAGTTCACTTATATGATTTTCATATATTCACAGTCATTGACTCATTACTTCACAGGTTTATTATGAACCAAAATAATAACCAGCTCCCAGTTGGCTTGTTAGCTCAGTTGGTAGAATACTGCACTGGTATTGCAGAGGTCATGGGTTCAAATCCCATACAGGCCTGAAATTCTTTCAAGCCTAATATTTTTACTACAACTACTTTGATTAGTAGTGCTCATTACTGTAAAGATCACTTTCATTTTCATTTTCTTAAACTGCAGTTATTTGAAATTTGCTTCACTTGAAACATATCATAGCTGATTTTTCAAAAGGCTTTATAGTGAAAAACAATCCTATTTTTTTCTGAATCATTGTGGACCCTTCTTCCCAGTTTCCCCCAATCGCTCCTTTGCTGAATTCGTTGGGTGTTATGACCTAATAATAAATTTATTTTATCTGTTTTTTTCTTCAATTTCAGTTTTATTATTAATATTAACTTTATCTAATTGTTCATGAGGTATCTTTCTTTTCTGTTCAGGAGCTCTTTTTGCTATTCTAGCATCTCTAGAGAGTCTGTGTAATTTTTGTAGTCAGCTGATTTTTAATCCACTTTACACATGGACTGTAACTGAACTAAAAGGAAAATATGTGGCAGGAATTACCTTCTTCATCAATGCTGGTCTCCTTCTCATCCCAATGGTCCTTATTTTGTGAGTAAATAACTAAATATTTATTAATTACAATGATAATAACAATTTTCATTAATAACATGGTTGCCACTTTTGAAGTTCCAATATGACTTTTCTCTGACTCAATTTTGACTGACAAAAATAAATTTCCCCTGACCAACTGAATTAACAATTTCACATTTGAATCCCAATAGGGGCCTCCAATCTCCACTCACCGCTATCCTCTCATCACATAACTTTTACTTGTATCATTATCCAACACCTTTTATGTTTGTGAAATGTAATTAAGAATTTAAAATGTTAGACAAAAATGAATAGAAAAAAACAAATGCAAGATTTCACTCATAAAACCAACCTTGACAATAATTATATTAAAGGGAAAGGATGAATGAGCACTACATGTAGTTCTAAATACAGGTAGTAATAATATACATGTAAAAATGATCTGCATCTCCCAGGTGAAAATGAGTACATTTGTCCTGTAACATGGGTGCAAAGTTGAGACAAGGGTGCAAATTATAAATAACATGTGCAGGCTGTCACACTTTTGTCTGTCTTGACTATCTGTGATGATTTTTTCATGTGAATTATTAATAATTACTAGCAAGATTCCTCCACTCGCAATTTGGTGCAAATAGGCACTTGTAAATGTTTCAAAGACAAAATTGCACTTGCCCTTATAATGGGCTCGTTATGCGCAGTCATTGTGATTTCAAATACCATCTCAATTTTTATTTTTCCTTTCTCTTTATGTTAGGGTCATTCAGAGGAGTAAACCCTCAAAGCCAAAGGAATTCCCTCCTCTTCTTGACGATGAAAATCCAGTAAAGTCATACAGCAAACAGGAAAGGATCTAACTTGAAAAACACAAGTCACAAGTCATCTGGCCCCAGTTGTGGCCCCAGGGTGGACAACACTATCCATTGATTAGGATTAACATCTAGCTGGTTGATAAGCTCAGGCAATAGGTTTTGATAACACTATCCACTGGATAGCATTATCAGCCTTTTGAGCATCATGAACAACACAGACACCTCCACCCAAGAAAAGGAACATCAACAAATTTTCTAACCATCTATGCTGCAGCTTTATTCTCATCACAATTATCTGAGAAATGATTCCACCTCATTTCTAAACACTTAACTACCATCCTTAGCTATCATCTAGTTGAAACACTGCAGATGTCTTTTGCCTGAAGAGCAGTTTTCAATTGAGTATTAAGAGTGATCCTAGGTTGCATTGGTTTTGCTTTATTTTGCTCTGTGATTGGTTTTGAAAACTTGTGCCACCATCTGAACCAATTAGATGCAAAAGTAAAACCAATTCCAACTTGGTCACCTGTGTTTTCACATGCTTCAAGTAGGTAACCCTTTTGACTTTGAGTTCTCACTGATGATGTTAAAGTTTGCTCTGATTGGTAGTTGTGTTTACTTTGGTTTTGGCTTTGACACTCGATTGAAAACTGCTCTATTGAATTTTTAATTTATTTAAATCTCACCAGGAAGACATGCATGGTGTAGTTTACTATTTGCAATTGTTACACGATAGGCAACTGAACTGGCAGTTTTCAGAAACACGCAGTATAAATTGAACATGTAAAAGGCAAATTGTATATTACAAGGTAAACAGGTCTTTTAATTTGGCTTTAATGCCCACAAATTTTGCAAAATGTAGAATATGATATTAAATGAATGTTTTTATACAAATGTAAAGCACTGAATGTAAATAGTGAGAAGTTGAGTCATTGCTGATTACAAATGGTGCAATTTTTTTCTGGCACCATTTAATGGCAAAGTCAGAAAACCAAAACTCACAAAATGCTAAGAGAATGTTTGGTTTACAGTGAGGAGCAACATTCAATTTGGAGATCATAATGCACAAGCAGACAACAAAGTGACAAATTAGTATCTTCATGCCATTGGTATTTCCAAATTCTAGATGTTGAGAATGATTTCAGCCAATGATTTTCTCTATTGTCAAATCAGCAATGTTCTAATAATATTAATATTATATGCAGCAGAATCATCAATTTATTAGAGTACCTGCATCTGGTGCCAGTATTGAGGATGCAATATTTAATTTTCACATTAATTTTATAAAACAATAATTCAAAAGTAGAATAAATAAAATAGCAAAGCAGAAAAACAAAAAAATATATGATGGATAGGATTGTATGATTGTTTATCATAAATCTTATTTTAACACAACAAGTAGGCAAACAGACCCTCACTGTAAAATAAGTTTTGAAGTGTGCATTTCTCCTCCCACTTAACCATTGAACAGTGGTTTCATATTTGTGACCATAGTGGTCAAAATGTTGTGGACTCAAGAGGAGCAGCTGAGTGAGTTGGCAACAAATTTTGACCACTATGATGACAAAATAATATCAGTGTCAATAAGAGTACAGACCACACTTAACTACTGTCTATTTGTTTTGATCAAAGTAACTGGAAGTACATCAAAATTAATACAATGATTCTTTCACAGTCATTAAGGCATTGCATGACATGTTGATATGAGCAACAGTGTCTGTTCTCTCATCAACAGCAACAAATTGGCCAATCAGATTGCAACATTACTGCCAATTGTGGTAAAAAGGAAGATTTAAGATGAGTTGGGGAGAGGTTTGCCAGGGGTGTGGGTCTGCCTAATCAATGTTAGGCCCCTAACCTCTTGCAAACCTCAGGGAAAGAAATGCTTGTGAAGAAGTGACGATAATGTGGGTATACTCACACACTAAGATGGCATTGGCTGAGTCATTATGGAGCATTATATGTTTAAATCATTCAATGATCTACTACTTCAGATGATTTAGATGCCTTTTGTAGAATGGTTCTATCTACAATTTAATTTCATTACTAAATTAGAGATGCACTCATCTGAGAGTCATAATCCATTGTGCAAACCATGACCAACACATTTTGTCTTTCCAGCTTTTAGTCCTTAGCATCTCCAATGCCATCTGCATTAATAGCAAACATGGCTTCAGCCTCAGGTAAACATGGCGAGTCATATATCTTACAAATTCTGGTCTCTCCTCTTCCCTTCCTGAGGTACAATCTGTGGAGAATAAGGAGCAAAATATAGATCTGTTACTTCTGAGCCTGCAGGAAATCCTTGTGTGCTGATATCAAAGTTTTCCTTTTGATGACATTGTAGCAGTTGTTGACTTCACACTAATTTATACCGGTACTTTGTATCTTTCTTTTCAATGCATTTTAGTTCTACAGCATTTAATGCATTTAAGTTCTACTGTTCATAATGTGTAAACTGAATTTGCTTTGTTCTGGTGATTTCCACCAACATGTACATGTACAGTCTAAGGTAAGTCTATAACCAAACTTCAATTGTGAAGTCATTTGAAGGAACTTGTTATGGAATAAGGTTTTGATATTAGCCATTACCTTGTTGTTGATGCATGTGCCATGATGTTTCCACCAATTGGTTTTTTGGGATCTGCTTGGAACATGGAAGCACCATCCACCTGTGCTACAACTTGGTTTGTGATAACTACAGCCACACCAAACTGAATGACAATGTTATGGCAATCAAAGATTCAGTAACAGGCAGAAAGCATTGCACAGTCCAAAAAGAAAGAAGAAAGTGCAATATTGCATGCAAATGGTATATACTGCATAAAATACAAATTTAGAGCGTATTTGCATATGTACCTCATCTGCAAGTTTTAGTAGTGTTCTTAGGAACCTTGCCAAGTGCATCTGCCGAGCAGACAGTTCTCCACGACCAGAGTAGTCTGTACGATACAAAGCTGTGGCACTGTCAACAATCATGAGAGCATATCTGCAATGATGGGAGATGGAGAATCAAAATAATTTTATGATGTAATAAAATTTAGAAACTTACCAAAGTGGAGAAGGGTGATTGTATGGATGCTGCACAATTTTCATATACCAGAGTTGTGCAACACAGGTCTAGAAAAAATTGATTCTCTAGGTCTGGCATACTTTTTGTCAGACAAACTAGTCAAGGAGTCAGGCTAACTGACGAGTGGTAAAAAAAAAAAAAAAATTACAATTTACATTACTTACAGGTTTCAGTAATTGTATCTAAAGCTTGTTGTATTCCATGACTTAATTTACACTGTATTTACCAATCAGTACCTTGATTCAGCCATCATAGCAGATGCATGTAATAGAAGCTGAGACTGATGATCTGAGTTGTAGGCTCTTGCATAGGCCACATTGTCAAGAACACTTTGTCCCGAAAGCCCATATCTGTCTCAGAAAGTACATGTAATACAAACTTCAATTCACAATAACAAATTTGAATAAGACAATTCTTTGTGAATAACAGAAATGTAGTTTAGAATTGAGATCTTCAGATCCTAAAGAGAGGGGGGTTGGGTTTTAACTAGACAGTGAGAGGACAAAAAAATATTAAGAACATAAAGAGCCAAGACAGTAGAGGAGGGAGGGAGCATACTGGTATTCAACAGCCATGATCAGCCTATTCAGTTGAGACTATTTTTTAGTACTCATCTTTTTATGAGTTCATGAAGTCATTCAAGTCAAACAACATTATAAACGATAAAATGCAAATTAAAATGCAGGTAGTTGACCATACCTTTCAGCGACAGCAACCAATCTTTCAGGTCGAAATGTGCCTTCTGTGTCAATGTAGAGACATTTGCCCTCTGCCCCACCGTGATCGATGGGAAGCTGTAAGATGTAATTAATGTCATGAAACATAAGAACCATTGATTCTCTTCTGTACAGGTGTATGTACTCAGTGCAATCATGTTGCAGTATCCTGTTCTATCTGACAGTCACTTTTTATTTAGACACTTCAGTGTACAAGACTGTACTTCCCAAAACTAATTTTGATCCGTTTTGAGATACAGTGTATGACACTGTAGAACTTTCAGAAACATTTCAAATTTCAGCTTTGAAAATGTCATGTGATTTAAGTTAAACAATCAATTACATCTACCTGACATGTTACTGCTATTGTGTGACACAGTTGGGTTTTTCCAGTACGAAATTCTCCAAACATTTCCGTGATGCTTCCAGTTTCAATACCACCTTTGGATCCAAAAACAACCTAGTTAGGTCTTTCAAATGTAAGACTGTAAGACTGACAATACTTAAAATAATTAAAAAACAAAACATCAGTCCATGTTACTTGAATAGTACGTCTTAACTCTGACTTTGATGATTGACTTACAATATCACCTGCAAAGCACACATAAAGACTTCATGTAATAAAAAAAAAAAAAAAAGATCAACAACTAAAGAACCTCTTTATGGTTAAACAAATTCCCCTTGTCAACTGAGTAAATGCATAAAGAACAGTATGGAGAATATGCATACTGATATTAGGGGGTTAAGCACTGTAAAGTAAAAATTCACACAAATAAGTCATTAATTATTTTATCAACACTGAATAATAGAAGATGATTACTTGTATATGTCTTTGACCAAAGTTTTAAACCAACCTTGCATAAGCTTGTCCAACTCTTTTGACCCTGTAGTAATCATGACTAATTCTGATCTCCGCTGGTGAAATTCTGTGGCAGTTGTAAATCCCATCGGCACCAGCTTGGAGGCTTCATTGAGAAGTTTATCAGCTTTAGCCTCACTGATACCTTTGATAGCAAGAAGGGCTTTTTTCGGTGTGTAGGCCACTGCCTCAATGGTGTGAAATCCAGCTTCTTGCAGCTTTTTAACATCATTGGCACTAATTCCATGCTCCTTAGAAAGAAAAAATGCCAGTCGGGATAAGCCATCTTTTGTAATTATATTTTCATATTTTTCCAGAAGCTGTAAACTTACCAAATAACAGAGATACCACATACACTCCTATTCACTGCTCAAATAAAAGTAAATAAGTCTTATATGTTGGTAAGTGTACATCAGACTACACTTTCCATCAGGTTACTTGTGCAATGAATGAAGGTAAGCTTCTAAAGAAACAGTGGTGCTGAGTTGGTGGAGTAACAAGATAATTTGGGTTTTATCAACTGAGTTGATAATGTAAATTGGCCAACGTAAAGAGTTGCAAGGCTGACATTTGAAGCATTAGTCCTTTGTCAGGGCGAACGAATGAATGTGTTAATTATTTCCTCTGATGAAGGGCTAACACTCAAAATGTCATCTTTGAAACTCTCACAGTGGCCAATTTACATTATCAACTCAGTTGATAAAACCAAAATTACTTGTACAATGACCAACTTAGGATATGGGGCAAACAGGTAAAAAGTTTGTATCCCACATGCCTTTTGCTGCTGGTGATTTACAAAATTTCTCCTGATTTCTAACATTCCATTAAGTTCCAACTTGTCGCCTATTGCCGATTACACCACAAGCTGAAACATTCCTACATTTCTGTTTGTTTCCTTTTTTGATCTCTTGGAAGACAGCCACATGGATACTCAGTATTACAGACTAGATTGTGTTGGTGTGGGTTGGTACATCAATAAATCACAGAAGAAATGAAAACGTGGCAAGGACATTAGTGACACACTCGGCTACACCTCATGTGCCACATTTGATGTCATCTGTGATCTATGTAATACTGAACAGACGTTTGACAACAAGAATTCTGGAACCAGTCGTTCAAAGGCCAATTAACACTAATCTAGGGTTAAATGTTAATCTTGGTTTTTTCTAGTTCTTTGTTCGAAAGCCTTTTTATGGATAGATATTCCCTTTTAAAGGACAATCACAAGGAAGTCTTATAAAATAAATAACTTCACATCGATCATGAAGCTAGCATCTATCACTTAGGCGGCCTACGTACAGGTATGGTAGATTTACAAAGTCAGATTCCTGAAGACTCTCGATTCCTAGATTAGAAATTTCAAAGAATGTGTCATAGCAACAATAACAATAAATTAGGCCGCGTTCAAGGGAGATTCCGTCGGACATCGATCGTTAAGAGTGTATTGAAATTGGCGTCGAGCTTATCGAGATAGGCAAGATGCATGTACGCCTCATTACCCGTGGAAAGTTTGATATCGTTTTGGCTTGAAAGGACGTGGATATTTTAGATTTACAGCTCAACTTTTACATGGGAAATACCAGAAATATACCCTTGAGAATAATCTTATCTGTGATGACGAACTGCAACGCCATTACTGTTTGCCTTTGTACCTCGAGTTTGTTGATAAGCAAGGGTCCCGCGTTTTCTTCCATGACGTCGTCATGTTCAGTTTCTTCTTGCCTTTCCCGCTGCATTATTTCCTAAAATAATCTTCACAATAACTATCAGACAAACACCTAAATGCTGGAAATGACAATTATAAAGCCTAATCCTAGTCTACAAACAAGTAAAAAGCTCAACTCTTCGCAAAACTGCCGCCAAGGTTTTTGAATCAGAGCGGGAACCTAAGATATGTTATGTAAGCGTAAATAAAATGTTCTCTTGATGATGTCACGTGACATTGCTCAAAGTTGTAAGTAACATTTGATTTCCTTATTATAATTCAAGCAACTAGTTAGACACTTTTATATAGCATGTGAACTTGTACGATGACAATGATTTATTGCTCAAAATTAGGATAGAGAGGACAAATGAGATCGATGAGATCGAAGGGTGTTAAATAAAAGTGGGGCCACTTTGGTGACGTAGCTTAAAGGGGAGGTTACTAAGGATTACGGAATCACCGAATCGCCAAAAGTTGTTGGAAAAAATAGGAATTACACAGTGATGTATTTTTTGTCGCCTCGCATGGTTACCGAAAGGATGAAACATGGCTGAGGTAAAGGAAAGGGTAAAGAGATCGTCAGTAACGAAATACACCAATGAATCAGATCAATGCGAAAAGATCACCCAGAAATAATTTATTGAAACACCGGGGGCGAAGTGGTTTCGTGTCGTTTGATTATGTTACGACTAGTGGATCCCAACGAGGTTAAACCATGGCAGAGCTGTGCAATATGTAGCGACAAGGTATTTTTTAGGACACCAAGAGAATTTAGTTCTCATCTAAGACAGGTGCACTGCACAAAAGAAGGAGGATCGTTCGTTTGCCGTTATGGTAAAAATGGCGTTTGTCCTTCCCTACCTGTTGAAGGTGTCAGCGACAAAGACTACGAGGATCATGTAAGGAAGAATCACACAAAAGTGGAGGAGGGTTAGTGTACAGTTAACAATTAACATATTTTGATCGTCATAGATCATTTCCCTGGTGTCATTCACTTAGCTTAAGTCACATCATTTCATCCAGTTCCCCAATTCCTGGTTAAATTTGAAATATAAAAACAAAAAGAACATACATGTACATGGCTCCTGAAATTAACACGATTAGTTTTATTATGATGACTGTAGTAGTACAAGGCAGTGTTGAAGAGTTTACATTTTGCCACATTTTCGTGTACGTTTCATCAATTCGAACTCAAGTAGACTGCACTGAATCCACATAGAGGTCGAAGTCTGAAGAAATTATTAGAAAATATAAGTACGGTTATGTACATGTACTTCTAAATTTCAGCATCAAAATCGATGTTACACTGGAGATATTTGATTTATATTTTACCCAAATTTTTTTTGATCCTTTAACTCCCATGACCGAACAAGACAGAATTTCTCCTTACCAATATACCTTACCAATCCATTATCAAGCAGACAATAAACAAGAATGAAGAAAAATAATAAGGGGATTTTAAGCTGATTCAATGTCAAATTCTCCAAACTATCATCATAAGAATTGCATGGCAGACAGTAAGGAGAATTACTTATGGGATCTGGGAGTGAAAGGGTTAAGCCACAATTTTGAGAATAGAGATTTTTTTTTTCCTTTTTTTAATCTTTTCCTTGATCATAATATACAGTAATACGGGAATTATTATTGTGTTTATTGTTTCTGCAGAAGAACTTCTCTTTTTTGGATTAAAATCAACTTTCTTTTCAATTTAAGGTCGATAATATGCTTTAGTATCCAACTATGTGTCGTAGACTACAAATAACATGCGATATTTGTACTCCAGAAATATATACAAAATTCGCCTGCACTGACATAATAATTTGGTGTGTTGGATAATAAATCTCTTAGATTTTTTGTTGTGTAGTATTGCTAAGTATTTGCTCATTGTTTGTATTATGACTCTCCCTATGGGCTCGTCAAAATACGGCACAACTCATAGAAATACACAGCGATACTACACACCAAAATGTGTAATAAGATGTATGAACTGTGTTCATGTGTTACGAATTCGATGGTTGAGTGGCAGGTGATTTGTAGTCTAAACAGAACCAAGGGTTGTTGGAACAGCATCAAGAAGGTTTATTCCAAAATGAACGTAGTTTCCACTTGATAAGCTTTACAGTAGTACATAACTCAGTAAACTTACACAGCCTCCGCCAACTTTGATCAACTTGTAAAATACACACAGCCTCAGCCAACTTCAATAAACTTGAAAATACTCACAGCCTCTGCCAAATTCAGCACACACTGCCTCGTCACACTTGACTGATCACGACTAACTCTCTTTGCTTGTGGAAACTTAGTTTTTTGGTTAACTTGTCCTACTTATATACTTACACGATAAATTTCTAGAATTTTCTAAAAGGGTCTAATTATAGCAACATTACAGAATACACCACTTTTAGAATGATTACATAATATACTAAAATAAACAAGCCATGACCTTTTGCAAAGTTTCCAGAAGGTCATGCATGTCACGCAACACTATTTTTCGTAACATCATGTAAGTTACAATGTCTTAGCATTAAGCTACTTTTCTATTTAACAAATAAGCTCCACATTCCTATGCTTCTGTTCAGTAATAGATAATAAATGACCTGAAAAAAAAGTTGCGTAAGAGTCGCAACTGAGTGTGTCACTGATGTTCCTCAGGGCTGGACACTAACTGTAGCCAACTGGCCAGAGACTACTAGAAATTCAATTTTGGCGAGTGGTTTTCAATTTCCACCAACCAGTTTGGCTAGTAAACACACTGAAATTATTGTAACAACTAAGCTGTCACTAGCCACTTGGCTAGTAAACTGAAAAGTTAGTGTCAAGCCCTGGTTCCTACCACATTTTAAATCATCTGCAATCAAATACTGTACAGAGACCCACAGCAACATGGTATCTATTTAATTTTGTTTAATAATTATATAAAAAAATGGAAAACACTAGTGATAGCAATGTCATTGACAAGTATGTGTCTCCTCCAAATTATTTTAAATAAGAACCTGAATCAAAATGTGTGCACAACTCAGCTTATTAGACAAATTCAATGAAGTACTTTTAATTAGTATGTAACTTTGTTCTTCTGCAGTAAAATCAGAGAGTCGTGCTCCTGTAACCACTGATGAATCACTATACCCAAGACCTAGATTACCACCCATCTCATTTCCTAATGCAAGTTCTTTCACGGTATATTCTTCTACACAAAACCTTCCTGCCATCTTAAATGACCCACGACTGCTGAAAAGACAGACAGACTTCTTCACCAAGACATGGGGTGAAGATTTTACATCACAAGATGTTCCACCCCTCACATTGCTACCAAATATCCCCAAAGCTTCCTTTGATGACTACCTCAAGAAAACTGAGTTTGTGAGTAACCTGTTTATTCCTCTTTGCAGCATGATAAGATATTTTTCTATGTTGATAGCTACCTAGTAAGTAATCCTGTAGATCGAGGCCTTAGGTCCAATTGGCCAAAAACAGCATGCATAACTTGCATGTGGTCATCAAATCCATGCTTACAGTTTTCTATGAATGTCTTCCTTAACCCTATGACCTCTTGAAAATGACTATATATTTCATTATTCTGACTTACACTGCATGCAAACACCCAAATTTAACCCAAAAAAAAAACCTTGATCTTTTGTAGAGGTTCAAAGTTCATCACAAAATCAAGAAAAACTCAATTGGGGGTGCAACTACAGCAACTCCTGGTGACACTGGGTTTACAGCAGCTGCTGTTGCTGCAGCCAAAAGACAGAGTGGTTAGTGTTCAAAGTACCTGGTGCAGATTATAATTTCATAGGATTTGGAACAAGCTACTTGTAGTATGAAACTAAGCTTAGGGTGATCTCTGCAGCATACATGTCATGTTTCATGTACAAGGACTCACTTTCTTTGAATTTTTGATTTTCCAGTTGACAAAGCTGCATCAGACATCAGCCTAGTACCAAAGGTTTGTTGTTCATTTTGAATTGTTTATTTTTGATAGAATTCTGACGAACATAATCATTTAAACTCAAGTTACTGTATTTCCTCCATTAAGCACCCAGGCAGTTATTTAAAATTTGAGTAAAATGAGGGGCATGTAGTCGTTGGAAAAAAGGCATTAATCAAGGTGAGGGGGGGGGGACTTTTTATTCTCCTGTACATATTGATTTTCAATGCATTTGAAGCATAAAAATTTACTAAAGTAAAGTAAATAAAAATAATAGAAACTGGTTTTCCATGTATCCCTACTACTTGAGAAAATGAGGGGCAGGCACTTCTTCAAGTGGGGCACTTGTTTGACATTATGGCTAGAAGCTTAAGGTGGGTGCTCACTTGAGGGAGGATGCCTATCTGAGAGAATGGCTGCTTTTTCAAGGAAATACAGTATCTCTTTTTTGATGGATGGTTTAATTGACTGTCTTGAAGGATTGATTAATTGATTGATGGCCAGCGGTCGTCAAGGATCCCTTAGGGGGGGCAAAGCAGAAGGGTGGCTCAAAGAAGTTTATTGGAAATTACAAACTGTTGCATACTGATCATTATTTTTGTCAGCATAGAAACTTTTTTAAGTTATCTTGGCCAATTTCAGGTGTTCATGATGCCCAATTTTGCTTTGGAAGACCCTGAGATCTTTAACAATGTCCTTCCTTGGAGTATGGTGACTCAAGAACCAGCTGATGGTGCAAGGGCTGTGCCAAGGAACTCAGCAAAGCTTCTTCAGGAAAAGGTAGTGATAACCATAGTGACCAGAGTCCAGCGCACATAAACCGTTGAGCCACAGCATCTCCCACTAACCTATCCCGGTTTCTAGACTAATTTTGTCATCATCCCCTTGGATAAGATAGTCAGCAAATTTTAGGTGTGAACTGTCCAACAAATTGCCAAGTTTCCTTTACAATTCCATGGTATCGGTATATACTACCGGGAAAAGAGTGGCACCAGAAGAGTTGAGTTTCTTCCTCAAGAACACAATTCATGACATTAAGTTAGTGCTCTATTTGGGCAACAGGTGTTCCTTCATTTGTTGAATTCTTTTTTCAAATTGTTTTTGGACCTGAAATCTTTGAGTAAATTATATAAGCAACATTAATTTACACCAAATTCTGTATTGAAGCTAAGTCACCAGTCAGAGAGAAGAGCTAAAAATATTGTTTTGTTTTTTACCCAATTGATATGAATCATTTGTTGTTGTTTTTTTTAATTCTTTTCTCAGTTGTCGCATTACTTGGACATCACAGAAGTGAATCTGGCTCATCAGATCTCACTAAGATCAGAAGATTTCTTTAGTGCAATGGCATCCCAAGATCAGCTGCAGGATCATGTTGGAGAGACAATCAGTGAGATTAAACATTTAAGGTAAATGTAAGGTTTTGATTTAAATTTGCCTATGAACTGCACAATCCTGTACACTTCTATTGAAAAACAGACATTCTTCCTCTTTATAAGGACAGTATGGGATGGGAGAAGCAAGGCTGGAAAAAACTCTCTGGCCCAGGAAGATATGAGGTGGGAGAAGAAAGAGGGTCATGATCAGGCTTGGCAGGAAAATATTTTGCTCATGATGCACAGACCTTGTTGTGCTTGCTCTGTACATCATGACCTTCAGTTAAATATTGTCCCATTTAGCCCTTGCACTCAGTCGATAAGTAAATATTCATCTATTGCAATTTTGTGCTCAGATCAAAATAATACTCCCAGATAAGGATTTGACTCATGGCTTTTAACAATTAAGTTATTGTAACTTATGATAACATTGTTGAAAAGGTTTATACTTGTGATTTTAATATTAATTGATGCTAGGCTCCCCTTTTTTTATTCTCCAAGAATGAAGGTGCAAAAAGTTCAAGAGGTTTTGTGTTCAGGATTCCTGAATGTTCTCAGGCTTTCATCGTTGAGATCTAAATATGTCAGTGTTTTTGAAAAGGTGAGAGAAGCTAACAGATTGCCATGGAACCCTTTTCCATCTAGCATCCTCAGATATGAAACAGAAATGAAAATCGTACAAAACTTTTTTAGTCTAAGCTGAGTTTTGCATCCCTTGTGTTGGTGTTCCCCGAATAGAGGTGCAACAAAGGAGGGGTCTTACTTTTAACAAACTTGTAATAACATCATGTTGTGAAGGTTTCAGTACAATAATTAAGAATTGTTTAAGTGGGAGACTGAGAATGTTCTGCAGAATCTTGGCTTGTATTGTTTTTTTTTTTTTTTTTCTAACAAAGGGGATCCTGAGAGTGGCTAACATCTAATTTTTCTTTTAAATATCACCCTCAAATTGCACACCAACTTAGCACCATCTAAGCAACCTCTTGATTGTTAATATAAAACTCTCCTTGTCAACACAGTAGGAAAGGTATAGAGAACAGTATCAAGAATATACGTCATACTGATGTCAGGGTGTAAAGGGCTATGGTTGGTGACTGCTGCTGTCACTATTCTGTCATTGTTTATTAGGAAAGTTTGAATGAAGCAAGCAAAGGCTTAGTTGCTCTCTTTGGTTATCACAGACATGAAAAAAAAAAAAAGAGGTTAAACACGAAGGCGCGCTATATAAGGAAGTCTTCCCTGGGAAGACCTGGGCTCATTTGTCACTCACCGTTGACGTGTGCAGGTCAAATTTAAATGCTGGTAGATAAACAAAAGGAGCTAATGAGATATCTATTGTTTACTTCCACCAGCATGGTGGCATGAGGTAACGTGCAAACCACCTACTTCGATCTCAAATTTACCGCCACAAATAAAGACAGTTTCCATTGGAAAAAGGAAATACAAATCTCAAAAATTCTTGTATAATTGTGACGAAGACATAAAACAATTTTGAGGAATGCGCCCACTGTTCACTGCTTTGGAGTAGCTGTAGCTCAAGCTGACTTGACTCTAAGAGTTCTACATCAAACGACGGTTGATTGACAAATGGTCCAGTGGGACCTAAGGCTCCTTTTATAGCGCACCTTTGTGTTTTAACTGATTGGGCATTGTCAGATAGATTTTGTCAAGCAATCTAAACTCTTACATTAATGCAAAGAATAATTTTGATCAGTAATCATCACTTTACCTTTAGCATGCAGAAGTGCAAAATGTAATTTCTCCCTGTAATGTTCCAATAGTATCCAGCAAACAGGTAATGAGAATAATCAAACTCATCACGCAGAAGTTGTTATCTTAATCAAGCAACAAATTCTCACAACTAATGTACAAAAATATGAGAAGCAGTTTGAGGAGAGAATTAAGAATCGGGGTTCAGTTTTATATAAAAGATGGATAACTTCATTCATAGGCCTCAGTTGTTTGAAGGCTGGACAACACTATTTACTGGATAAATCTCTATCCTATGATGGATAGCAAAGTATGTTATGTTAACATGTATCCTCTGGATAGCAAAGTATGTTTTGCTAACACCTATCCTATGGATAGCAAATTATGTTTTCAAAACATAATTTGCTATCCATAGGATAGGTGTTGACAAAACATATTGTTAACATGTATCCTCTGGATAGTGATTTATCCACTGAATAATGTTATCCACTCTATGAAAAACTGGGCTTAGATAAATTGCCATCTGTTGGATAAGTGACAACAAAAAATTTTGTGCTTGCCATCAAATAGGGATTTATGCAGTGGCCGGTGGTGTTATCCAACGTTCAAGCAAGCAGGGCCAGATCTTGGGAGTTTTAGTGCTAACATTTAAATATGAAAAGTGAATGATGATAATAAATCAATGTTTTCTTCAAACAAAAGCTCATCTTTCAAACCCGCAGTCTAATCACACAGAGATCAACGAACGCTTTTCATTCCACTAATTTATTCGTGTTTTTCTCGTTGCCATGTTCCCACCAATAACGTAGCTCCATTTTCTCCCTTTAAAAGCACACAGAACCCACAATTCCTCTATTCGCTCCGACGAAGGGCTAACGCTCGAAACGTCAGCTTTTGTAATCGTTACGGTGGCCAATTTACCATTTCAACTTTGTTGATATATCCAAAACGTTTTCTTCAGCTGAAATTGATGGCCACAGTTCACCAAACCCAGCCAACAATTCAGCTGCTTTTGTCCACTTCAGACTTTGTTGGTGCACTGGATTTGATTGGTACTACTCAAGAAGTTTTGCAGCAAGAACTTGCGGGCATTCAAAGCTTTAGGTATAATTATTATCTCAAATTTTCTGGCCATGACAATTTTTTAATACAAAGGTTCACTCAGCTTTTTTTAGAAACTTTAGGCAAACATGTCCAGTTCTCAGCAACAGTTGGAGCAATTAATGTCCACATAACGTGTGTTGGAATGTGAGCTGAATAATGGGAGTTGAGTGAACCAATCAGAACCCTAAAAGTGCAATACTCGGAGTGGAAGACTTAATAATACAGTATGTGGAATAAAAGTCCATTCATAAAGATCATTTCAAAGCTTAAATATCTCCACTTTTTGTTTCTGCAATTTAGTATCATCAGCATGCTGAATAAAGAGTAATTTATGGAAATTCTCTGTGAGTTGAGAGTGTTTTTTATTTTACTCAGAATAATTGAACCTTTTTGTTTTTTTCCATTTTTCTTTTCTTTCGTGACTCAGACACTTAGGCTCACAACTGGCAGAACTTGAACGAGTGATCGAGAGAATGATGGAAGCAGATTTTGTTGAGTTTGCAACAGCCAACCTTACCAGGACATCAGAGGATGACATGGAGAGCGAAGGACTTGTTGATGAGGTACTACATGGGAATATACCACCCTCGTGGAGCAGCAGCCTTGAAAGGCATTGCTGATGACCTCATGTTGGTTTCTGATCAACTGCGCGCCTACCCCTCCCTTAACTCCAAAATTAGCCCTAAATTGTTATTGGTTGACTGTTTTGGCTAGGGGAGGGGTGGGTGTGCAGTTGCTTAGATCCTGACGTTGTTCCATGACATTTTGTATGTTTAGGTGCCTTTATTTTAACTGAGTACAACAATTTCATTTATTAAAAAAAAATGAATTTTTTTTTCTGAAACAGGATCGGCTTGCGTCTGTATTGTTTGGTCTTCTCCGGAAACACAAGTTGCATTTTCTTCACTTGTATCGTGACGAAGCTTATGCTACAATAAAGAGTACAGTAAGACAGGTTTGTTGACAATGGAATCAAAATTCTACTCTTTATAGGGGTTTCAAGCGAACTATGACGGCGAAGGAAATGAGAACTTGGGAAAACAAAAGATGTAATAGACAGAACAGTAGCTCAGCACGAGCGTTTTCAAACGTTTTAGATTTCTTAGCCGTCCTTCTGCCAGAGAGGGGGAAAAAAAGTGAAATCACCAAAATTCGCATGGTCTGAGAACAGCAACCCGGACTGCAAATGATTTCAATTTCCATTTGGAATTCAACGCTGCTCTTATACACGTACGTTACACGGAAGTTGAGGTGTGGCGCTGTAAGAGCCGTTAAACGCATTCCGCCATTCGCAAAGTTACAACTAAAAATGCAAATTCATTATGTAATTGTTGTCTTAATCGGCCTTGCCGCCCTGACTCCTTAAGGTGGCTGGAAACAGTTTTTGAGACCTTTACCGACTATAATAAAAGCGCTCAAAAACCAACTTTCCATCTTCGCAGTCGATCCAATTTCACACGTATGGTGGCTAAAGGGTTGAAGTGTGAAAATGTGAGCGTTGCATGGCAATCACCATTACATAATCTGGATAATGTTATGGGGAAATTCCCTAAATAGTATCTCGGGACGGTGTAGGTAATCCTCGATAGATTTTCCCACTACTCCAGGATTTTCCTTTTTTGAGTGAATTTCAACAAATATCCTTTTCCTTCAGACTAAAGAATCTCATACTCAAGATTTTTTAACACGACGACCTGAAGTATGAACTTTGACTGCACAAAGTCATCTACTTAAAATGCTTAAAAAGATGAATTATATTTCAACAGACAGTACAAGATATTGTGACAGACAGCAAAGAGAATGAAGAGGAAAGGTAACATTGTAGCCATAAGGAGTGTCACATATCTATTGGTGGAAATCTAAACCAAGTCGGTATAGTCTTGAGACACATTGTAAAAAAAGTCTGTGGGGGAGTAGGTGGGGAAGATGTGAGTTAGCAATTTGTGTGGAAGATAATAACTAACAACAGAGTTCGCTGTATCTTGGTGGTATAGCATTACTTTTCAGTGCAGTCAACGTTGCAAGCTTATACCAATGTCAACACCCGTACCGAAATAAAACATAATCAATAGTGAGTTATTCAACGTTTCAACCGTAGGGTCGTCTATCCAGTCAGGCACGTTTAATTCAGGGTTAGAGAGGACAGTGGGTGTGGGGGGGGCGACAGGGAGAGATACCCCATCCCCTCCCCTCTCCTTCCTTTTAACCATCGCATACCTCCCTAATTACAAATTTCTCTTCTTTGCCAAGCGTTCCGCAGCTGTAGAAATTAAAGATGGCAGCTGTAAATTTCACCAATTAGATACAGAGTACTAAGCATTCGCTGGCCAAATCACGCCTGCTCTGCAGGCTAGTACAGCATCGAAGCACAGAATCTGAAAGTCTGAGGTGTAATTCTTCCTTGGAACTCAGACTTTCCTTTATTACAAGCTTTAGGCAAAACATGGAACATCTTTCTTTAACAAACGCATTCTAGTAAACCATGAATTCCTCAATCAGTCAGTGAAAGAAAATTGATTTATATATGAGCACACAGGTTGATAGTACATTTTGCGCGAACTTATTGGCTAGTTCGGGGTGTCGAACATCCACAACTATTTACCTCCACTCTGGTGAATAATTGTCAATTCTTAGTGATTACGTTTGCTATTACAAACAGCATTCAATAACTTTTCAAACATCAAACAGTGATCTCTCTAATGTTTATTTTTTCATCAGTCAAAGTATTAATGATGCAATGAGGGGCTTGGATTTCCTGCAATGGATGAACATGCTGGAGAAAGTGTTTAATGCATCTCTGTGTGTTCTGCGAAGGATGCGGGTAAGCTGCAAACGGGACCATCATCAATCCGTTTTCAATACATTCTACAAAGGTTGTCACATCTAGGATTTCTCCATGGCCAGCCAATTGAAAATATAGCATATTAAAGTACCGGTATCCCTGTTGATTTACAATCCTGTTTTTAGCTTTTCCAAGAGACTTATACGTTTTTGTATCACCGTGACTTGTTAGCTTTTTCAGGGTTGTTTGTAACTTTTGTGAGCCAACCTGGTCATGACAGTCTGAACGCACGCGACTCAGTCAGTAACCTTGTCATTACACAACACTCGCACATGTGCAGACGTTTGACCGCTGTGTTAGGCTCAATAACCAAACGTCTCGTAGGTGATGAGCCTCCGTTCCTCGAACATCGAACTTTAGGGAGGGGTGGAAGTAGAAGCTATGTTAACATGAAATCCCAAGATTCACTGTAATGCTTGGTCAATGTGGCTTGTCTTTAAAACTATGTGTGAAGGACTGATTTTGAAGTTAATGTCTATAGTGAACTATATGCCTGTTAAAACTCTTGGAGGAGATATAAATGCACATGTAGTTTTTTTTTTTTCTCAAAGTTTTTATACATTTTACAGGAAACAAGGAAAAAAATAGGTAGAGGGTCTTGTCTTGATATGACATAAAATTTCACTGGACTCAATTAAAAGGAAATTATAGCATCTATTTGGGAGAAGTAAAACTGAGACAGTGGGAGCCGAAGGGTTCAGGGTTGACCTTAATTTGGAGAATTAGCCCTTTGTGGTGGATATAGTAATTTCTTTAGTGATTTGCTTACCTTTATATAAAAATTCATTTGAAAATTTGCCACGAAAGTGTTGCACTTGCTAGTCATGGTAGTTCACCAGCTGATTTCCGCTTTCTGACGCTTTTCCGCTGCTACATAAAATTAATCTTGTAAATGTTGTTTGATTATTCAACCATTGCGATTCCAATTTTAGGTGTTGCATCAGAGCATTGTGCGAGTGTTGATGATAGCCGCTGGAGGTGTTACAACTCACTTCGATCAAGATGACTTGGAAAGTTTAGGCATTTCTGAATCTGATTTTCTTAAACCTGTTTGGTAAGAGTTTGTTTAGGCTTCTATTATTACTTTAATAGCCGGTAACTAGTCTACATGTTTACTTGCCAACACTCAAGCCTGTGGATTAAAGTCTTTATGTTACATATGAATAAAGGCTGATAGTTTCTAAAGAAACTGTTAGGGGCTGCGTCGGTGGCGGTAACGAAATAATTTGGATATATTTCCAATAACTTAGCTCCATTTTCTGCCTTTAAAAGCACACACAACCCACAATTCCTCTATTCGCTCCGACGAAGGGCTAACGCTCGAAACGTCAGCTTTTGTAATCGTTACGGTGGCCAATTTACCATTTCAACTTTGTTGATATATCCTATTTGTTTATGTTACATAAGCTCGCTTCTTCCAATTTACTGTAATTGGCAAAGAAATATTCACATACTTTCTTATGTCACTCAGCAGTGGAATGGACATCTTGATAAACACAACTGATTATAAGAAACTGACGCAGGAAAGTAAGGAGCTGTTATGTGCAGGTTGTGAAATGGCACAGCTGCGTTGTGCGAAACTTATTAATGTTAGAGGAAAGGTAGGTGCAGATTCTCTCCGTTAGGTGTTTTTTAAATAAGTATGGGGCTTCGCTGCGTGCGCTGCGAGCTCCGCTATAAAGTGTTCAAGTTTGCACTGAGGCCAAGAGGTTCATCCAGCTGAGCTTGTCCTTGTTTCCGTGGCATGAAGTCAGAAGTATTATTGCTACTTCCCTTGGACGGGATGCAAGTCCAAGGCAGGTTAACCTCTCCCTATCAACTAAAGGCAATCGCCCTTGAGGCACCGTCAAACAATACTTATAGGTCTGATGCCACAGCATTGAACTACAGAGAATTGTCCGTCGGTGTACTAGGTTCATATTTAGTGGTAAGAGTCACATCATGGTAAGGTTATGAGAGTGCTGAGTTTCGGTTTCTTTCTTCAACAAAGAGGATGATGATAAATGGAAAGCTTTTTATGTGGGGCTTTGTTAGTGCCATTTGACACTTTTCATAAAGTTTTGCTACGGTGACACGTAATGGCACTCACTTCATTCATAATTCAAGATCGCTTCCTTGCACTTCTATCAGTTTTCGGTTAAAACTCGGTTTAGTGTTTTGAGCTATGATGCCGTCCTATTGCCCTGTTCATATTTAGCCACCGAAAAAACGTCAACCCGCAAAACGAAGACCTTCACTGTAACTACTTCTTGTATTTAGCCATTCGTGTGAAAACATCGTAATTCGTAAGTCGGCTTTTCCAGCGTTAACCCATCGTCAGAGTGAATACACGAAAGGCTGACGCTTGGAACGTCAGCTTTGCAAACTTTTTGTGGTGTCCAGTTTACATCATCAACTCAGTTGATAAAGTCAAATTATCTTTCAATACCACCCCACCTTCCCCACCGACGCAGCAACACGGTTTCTTTAGAAACGTAACCCCTTTCTTTATGTGAAGGCATCATTTTGTTGTCAACAGGCTGGTTATCTGGACAGCTTATCCTCGGCAGAGTTTGTTAGGCTGACACGTATGGTGGAAGACTTTGTTATGGACTGTGAGAAAATATGTGGACGTCAGAGCCATAGTCTGAGGGCCACTCTTTTGTCACAAGCTAAAAAATTTGTGGAAAGGTTCCACGAGGAACGCAAAAATAAGTTAAGGTGAGGCATTTGTTTTCATGCAGCTCTAAGTGCACTTACATAGTTGTATCTTCAGCTGGTAGATTGGAATGAAGATTTTGATTCTTGAGAATCATTCCAATTTATTGGGAGAAAAGGAGACCATTTTATTTGATTAAACCCCCTCCATATTTTAGTTTCTTTGATAGCTTTTGAAGCGCGGGAAAACTCGAATGTCCATGGCACGATTGGGTTTATGTTTGAATATGATTGAAGTGGCGTGAGTTTTGGTAGACCAGCCACAGAGTAAAGAAAAGTGAAATCAAAACAATCCGGTATTTCTTTCAAAGCATTGAAAATTGCTCTCCCTCTGTCGCTTGATGTCACCTTTTAAAATACATGAACCAAGTTACAATGTATGGATTGACCTTTCTTTTACGGGAATTATTTTTTAGTCTGATATTGGACAATGAGCGATGGAAACAGGCTGATGTTCCTACAGAGCTCCAGTCTTTAGTGGACTCCTTAGTTGATGGTAAGGCTAACTTTAAAATTCCGACTGTTTAGGTTCATTATAATTTATAAATTTATCGTTGTTTCTTTAAATTATAGTTGTTTTTTTTTTTTTAAACTTATTACAAGGTGTTTACCCACGGGGCAAGGAGCCAACTTTTTCTATAGGTATGTGCAAAGTCAAGTAGTAATGTTTCTGTTAGAGGAAATAGTTAAATAAACATTTCTTTAGTCACCAGCGAGGAAGAAAATAATTCTGTGTCGCCTGTCAGGAAGTTGGATGTCCTCCCAAATGAGCTGCAGTGAACCATTAGCGAGCGAGGCTATGTAATCCTTAACACATTCAGAGAGCAAATTTGCTATTGAGTGTCGAAAAGTAATTATGGAGTGCTTTGGTTTTGCATCACTTCGCTCTGTGATTGATCAAGAAAACTCGCGCTCGTTTCCTCAACCAAACAGGCTCAAAACTAAAACTAAACGCGACTTGGTCACCTGCGTTTTGTCGTGCTCCAGGCGCGGGAAAGTTTGTGGGGCTTGAGTTTTGAGTTTTTTCTGGGGCTTGGATTCTTGGTCTTGATTCCGTGGTCTTACAGCAATCAATCGAAAAGCGCTCAATGCGAGGGAAAATTTTTGGCGTAGCGTATTTTTGTCAAGGGAGATTAGAGTATATCGGAAAAACCCTCGTTCGGTTGATACAATAGTACAACAGTTATATCATGTTCTCCAACGTGCTCGTTTTCACTTGCAAAATGAAATTCTTTTCAGGTCCCACGGCAACTAGCGACAGCAAGCCATCCCCAGTTTTATTTGTTAATGGAGAAAAATTTACGGTTGTTGGGTAAGTTTAGGGACGTTTTAAAAGTTTTTTTTTCTGTTGTTCTTATTTTCACATGTATCTACAATGATTTGGAGAGTTATTTATCTATATGAACTTAACTGAGTTACTACGAGCGCCCTGATTGATAAAAAAAACTATCGTTTTTTTGCACCGTTAAACCTATACAATATTGAAACATTTTGTTTGTTTGAAGTTTATTTTATAAAATCAACAGACCGCACTTTCTATAGGTTTAGCCTCCGGCTCCGGATTTACAAACTTTTCTCATTTGCTCCCAACGATTCCCACTTGGTTTTTATCCCGGTAAACCGGTTAGAAGTGCGGTCTGTGGCTTAACTGATTTATCAAAATTATTTACCTTTACGTGATGCATTAGTTGTCGTGATGATTACAAGTAACTGACTGGAACTCATTTTTATTTCTCTCGAAGCAGTTCATATATAATCTTAAANGCAGCTCTCTTTTGTAGCCTAAGTATTCTTAAAAGAGATTCATTAGAGCAAAGAGGGACGTTTTAAAAGTTTTTTTTTCTGTTGTTCTTATTTTCACATGTATCTACAATGATTTGGAGAGTTATTTATCTATATGAACTTAACTGAGTTACTACGAGCGCCCTGATTGATAAAAAAAACTATCGTTTTTTTGCACCGTTAAACCTATACAATATTGAAACATTTTGTTTGTTTGAAGTTTATTTTATAAAATCAACAGACCGCACTTTCTATAGGTTTAGCCTCCGGCTCGAGATTTACAAACTTTTCTCATTGGCTCCCAACGATTCCCGCTTGGTTTTTATCCCGGTAAACCGGTTAGAAGTGCGGTCTGTGGCTTAACTGATTTATCAAAATTATTTACCTTTACGTGATGCATTAGTTGTCGTGATGATTACAAGTAACTGACTGGAACTCATTTTTATTTCTCTCGAAGCAGTTCATATATAATCTTAACTTTACTTGTATAGCCTTTCATTCAGGGCAGTCATGGAGCTTCCACAGCTGTATTTCGACGACTGTGTTAGGCATTGGACAAATCTCAATGCACTAATTGTGTTTGTTCTCTCGTATTTTTGTTTTCACAGAACAGTGCTGTTATTGGTGAACATGTTAGTGGAATACTGCCAGTGTGTAGATGACACCCCGATGCTGGTCACAGACATTATGAATAAATTGTTTGAAACTTTGAAGGTCAGTTTCATATTTACAGTCCGTTACAGCCAGTAGTTAACCATGTTGTAAACGCAGAAGATTTGGAACGCAAATTTACTAACGATTAAAGTGAAAAAGTAAGCTTTTGAACTAAAACAATGAAAAATTAGTATTTTAGTAATTTGAATGATAATGATTTGAATGTGTTTTATTATAAAACCTTCCTCTCGCCTCCCTTTTCTTCAACCCGCTTGAATTTCACCAGCAGTTAGGCCTGGATACTTTTTTCAGGTGTTAGGATTGAGTTTTGTAGGCTGTTCGAGCACAATTGATTTTAGGAATCCGTTACCAGTTTCCTTTTCAATAGAGCACATCTCGATCGAGTGTCTTAAAAAAAAAAAAAAACAAAGTAATTACTTAAGCCGCTCAGAACAGGTCAGAATACTGCAAGGTTAGGAGCGTATGGGAATTCAATTTAGAAACAAGCAAAGTGCCTGAAGCGCGGGTATGGTTTTAGTTTTGAATCTGATTGGTTGAGAGGATGGTGCGAGTTTTCTGCAGCAATCACAGAGCGAAGTAACTTAGCGCCATTGCTTTCTTGGATCACTTTTGACACTGAATTGAACATCGCTCTATGACATTTGTAACTCATTTTGATGGGTTAGGCAGACACAGGTTCCAGTCCCCTTGCAGATTTCCACTATACTGTATCTGTGTCTATCTAGAAATGGCAATGGCAGAAGACCTTGACACGTGCAATAATAACATCACTACCACCATTATGGAAAGTGCAGTGGAGACCGCTGGGAGAAACAAACCACCAAGACAGGAAAAGCTCTCCAGAGTAACAAGGCAACTTAGAGAGAAGCGGCGCCAGATGAAGAGAAGTGGAACAGATGTACAACACATTGAGTACACTGAGATCTGTAAAGCCATCAGACAGCGCATGAAGGAGGAAATAAATAGCTACAATGAAGAAGAACAGTTAAAACCGCTGGCAAACAACACAGGCCTCATGTCTACGAAACGGATGCAGTGTCAGGCAGAAACAACATCGTTGCCTTTAAAGAGAAAGACGGTAGGCTCATTGAAGACCGTGACAGGATGATCAAGAGGTGTGAGGAGTTTTACACCGAACTCTATAGCACCAGACGACTACAGGATCAACCTTTCAATGATGGCCACTACATGGAAACAGGTCCAATCCCTCCCATCCGACAATCAGAAGTGAGAAACGCAGTCAAGCGTCTAAAGCGTGATAAGGCTCCTGGAGAGGACAATATCACCGCTCGCATTCTACAGGATGGCGGAGAGCCTATTGTCAAGATACTCACAAAGCTGTTTAACAGATGCGTTGTGGAAGGCAAAGTCCCCAGCTGTTGGAAAAACGCATCGGTAATCATCATCCACAAGAAAGGAGACACGGCTGATATTAAGAACTACAGGCCGATCAGCCTTCTGCCAGTAACTTACAAAATCTTTTCACAAATCCTACTTCAATGGATGCAAGGTGCCTTGGATGAACACCAACCAATAGAGCAAGTAGACTTCAGGGCGGGTTTCTCTACCGTCGACCACATTCACGTTGTAAGTCAGCTACAAGAGAAGGTAAACGAGAATAAGATTCCACTCTGTTTTGCTTTTGTTGACTACGAGAAGGCGTTCGACTCCATTGAATTTACACCGCTTTTCAAGGCACTGGAGAACCAAGGAGTTGATCAGGATCATATCACTATCTTAAGTGACCTGTACAATGGTACCACCTCGGTTCTAAAACTACATAGGGACAGTGATAAAATAACGTTGGGAGCTAGACAGGGTGACAACATATCACCTAGACTCTTTATATCATGTTTTCAGGATGCGATCATAAAGAGAATTGATTGGGAAGGCAGAGGCCTCTCCATGGATGGAGAATACCTCTCCCATCTAATTTTTGCTGACGATATCATGTTGTTGGCCAAGTCACCAGAGGAAGTGAACGGTATGCTCATTGACATCCATATGACAAACAAAACAGTTGGCTTCAACATGCATCTAGGCAAGACTAAAGTGATGTTCAATGACCATGTCGGCAAGTCAATAATAACTGTCGATGGCAAGACCATTGAGGAGGCAGACAGCTATGTCTACTTAGGAAAGACATTGACACGAGATAATGACCTACTTCCTGAGATTACGAGAAGGATTGCAGTTGGTTGGGCAGCCTTTGGAAAAGTGGACAACATCATGAGAAGCCGCAAGGCAAGTATGAAGATCAACAGGAAGATACACGATGAGTACATTCTACCAGTAATGACTTACGGGTGCGAGACATGGGCATTAAACAACGCTATGGCAGCGAAGCTTGCGGTCGCACAACGAAAGATGGAACGTATAATGCTGAACATTACCCTTCGAGACCGAAAGCAAAACACCTGGATTCGGCAAGAAACTGGTGTAAGCGATATCGTCAATGCTATCAGATGGCAAAGCACAGATGGGCAGGTCACATAGCACGGCTGTCAGATAATAGATGGACCATTAGAGCAACAGAGTGGACCCCAAGAGATTGGACCAGAAAACAGGGTTGTCCAAAAACACGATGGAGGGATTATCTCACCAGACAGCTGGGACCTGCATGGTCGAGATTGGCTAAAGTCAGATACCTGTGGGATCATTCTAGGGAGGGGTTCCTCCGCCGGGAGTGAATTTAGCCCTGATGATGATGATGTATTTGTGTCACATGATACATGTTTTAATGCCTTTTTTCACGTATTGCACGTTTTCTCTCTTTTGTCGTCAGCTACGACTTTTCCCATTCTTACCATTGGTTGCGTTCTATATTTCCCGCCATTCTCGCAAACGACATCGAGGGAGGTTCAGTATTTACTTGTTTCGTTATTAATTTATGTATTGCTATTTTTAGCCTGACGGCGCCTAATTATGTAACTTTTCCTTAGATGTTCAACTCTAGAACGTGTCAGCTGGTTCTTGGAGCAGGAGCTCTGCAGCTTGTTGGACTGAAGACCATCACAGCCAAACATCTAGGTATTGTGAAAGAAAAGTGTTTTTCTTATTTTTTTTTTGTTTTTATTTTTTCCAATGGATGTTTGTATGATTCAATTCAAAAGTTTTGATTGGCTTATCTACCATTTTAAATGAGAACCAATTTTAACATGGCTGAGCCGGAAGTCATCTGTACCTCATCATCATGCGGCTCTTTTAACAATAAAATAATTATTGTGAAACACAGAGTATTGCATGACTCCAGACTCCTAGGTATGACCAAAATGGAATTTCTCCTTAGATCTTCAATTCAGTTTCGAGCAGAAGAGTGCTGAGAAATTAAGAAATAATATGAAGTGAATCCTGTGTTCTGATTGGCCACACGAGCGGGAAAAGTAGCCAATCTTGCTTGTTCGAGATTACCCGCTTTGATCCCGCGCAAGGAAAAAACTCGTGCAGTGAACTTGATGCAGAGTTCGTAATGGAGTTCGGCGATGGAGACGAAAAACCCGGTAGAAGATAGTGAAAACAAAGAAAGCATAAAGTACTCTCGTTTATTGTGCGACAAACACTGTTGGCTTTCTTTCCCCGCTCTCGGAATAAACAAGCCATTCTTGATTCATGTAAAGCAAAATCTTTTTTGCTAAAACGCAAAAAAAAAAAAGTACTCGGCCAATATCTAGCCATCTTGACCTCACGCTGGTCATTAACGCGTATATATCATGTAGGGGAGATCCTTTGATTCGACGCTTCAACGTCAAATTTTCACAGAGAAAATTAAATGAAATGAATAGCTGTTAGTATAGAAAAGTGAAGTTGTGATCACAGGAGTGATAGGGTTAAGGTAACCTGAAATGGCGAAGAGTAGATGATGCCCCCCCCCTCCAACTTCAGCAGTGGTAGGCCTCTTGCCTTGCCAAAGTTAACAAAGTGGTTATTATAACGTATGGTTCTAAAGTTTGTTTGTTTACATGTTTGTTTTGTCAGCTCTTGCTGCCCGCTGTTTAGAAGTCGTTACAATTCACATTCCTGTCTTCAAAGCGCATTTCGAGGAAAGGCTACCGCCAAAGCAGTACGTTTTACTGTCACAGTTTGATCAAATTCTGAAGGTGAGCGGTGGCATGTATTGCGTTTGTGTCCTTCATAAGATTGGTGAACACAATTGCCCTAGGAATAAAAAAATCACCGGTTGTACTTCGTATGTGAGAAGGAATAGCAGGTGTGGACAACGCAACATCGATCCATCCTTCACCACAAACTAGAACCTCGCCATCCCCAACCGAATAGTCATGCAAAGTCACCCACGTCACTGATTGAAGATAACGTGTAATTCTCGTCTTGTTTTCCAGGATTACAACAATCATCGTCAAGAACTGTTCAGCAAAATTGTAAACCTGATGGAAGAGCTCTTCAAAAGTATTTTCTCGAAGGTATACTGTAAAGCATCGCTTGTTTACACTGCTTTCAGTGTACGGGAATTTAATAGGTTTTACTTTTTTCTTCAACAGTGGGAGGTCAAAGCTCCAATGCCGTCTCAAGCCATGCGCGGTGCGGTGAAGCAAATCACAAAACTCCACGAGTCCGTGTCTCTTGTTTTACCGGGAGCGCAAGTTGAGGTGAATTTGTAATTCGTATAGAATCAGAACCTCTCCATTTGCCGCCTGGTGACCTTAGTTGGAAGAGTTTTAACTACTCTCTGGAGGTTCCACGGCCGACATTGGATCAACGCTTAGAGTCTTAAAATGTTTTAGGAAATGAGCTGCGTATACGCTTATCACAAAGTGAATGTAGCGAAGCTTCCGATATTGTGGACAGATATCTCAGTAGGTCCTCTTAAGCTTATCACAGCCCAGGGGCGGCGGGCGGCGGAGCATTTTGAAACGTGGGGGTGGCACCCAGCCATGAACATACTCCTTCTCAAATTTTCCAAACTGCCCTTTGCGTTGTGCGTTGGTACAAGCAAACCTCCTTGCAATCTCTATTATTTCGAGTGTGTCTGTGATCGATTTGTGAATTACTTTAAATTTTTCCGGCACATTCTAGAATCTTTCAGCCTAGCATTCGATTGGGTTCCCACAGACAAAATGTAATCATGTCTAATTTCCTAGACACGCTCCAGTTTAATGAGGAGCTGCTGCAGTTGATAAGCTTAGCAAACATAGGCCGGAGCTGTTCTAGAAATGTTTTACAACATATTATTTTGCTAAACGTGAAAAGATCACGAAATTGAATATTTTGTTAATTTTTATGCTGCGTTAGCGATATTTTCGGCACCAAAACGCTTGTGAGGTTGTGCCCCCCAAATTTTCGTTAATGGGAATGGGGGAAGCCTCCTGCTCCTCCTTCGCCGCCTTTGCCGTCAATTTGCAACCCCTCTGGTTTTGTGCACAAGGTTTCTAATGTAACCTTATACGTTATCATTTGTTTGATTGTTTTTTTCTTTCTGTACTTGTTCAGGCCATATTCAGAGACATCAAAAGAGCTTTCAAGGAAAGTTTGGCGCATAAGCTGGACAAGTTAGGAGTCACGAACGATGGTGGTCCGCAGCATGGGTAGGTATTATAACGGGAAGGCAAAGAGAAAGTAGTGGAACCCCTGTGCGCTATTAATGATCTCGTTTATAAGCCCTCTTTCACAATCTGAGGCGACTGACCTTCAAAAAGTTAGTTTTCTTCTTACTTATTTTTTCTCACTTAGAAACTTGCGCATGACAGACGGACTTGATGGTTGTACATTTTCGACCCCGCTGAAATAAATGCACATGAACCGGGCGGGATGAAAAACATAAAGAAGATTGTAAGGGGAACGGGGGAAGGGAGGGGAGGATTTGAGCAAACGATTGAAAAATTGCTAGTGCCTGTTCTTTTGTGACTCCTCTACAGCTTTTTGTGAACAGACAAACGATAAAATAAAACGTACATCCTCTCGTGTTGGTTGCAACTTATGCGAATGAAGGAACACTCGTATTTTCCTTCCTCTTTCTCCTTTAAGGAATAAACTACAGGGATCTTAACCTTTTATAAACCAAGATCAATTGAAAATTCTCCCCTGTGACTGCTTTACATTTCCTCATAAGTAAGTCAAGAAAATGTGGTTTTATATCACCTGACTGACAAGCTTGTTAGTTCCCATAACCTTCTCTCCTCTCAAGGAGAATTGATGTGTTAGTCACCGTTGGGAGTTAAAGTAACAATTTTCTCTTTTTAATGCAGACTCGTCACGTCGGATTTAGCGTTCTTTAAAGAAAGCCTAAAGAATCTGAACGGAATGGGAGAAATCAATAGAAGCCTGGATGATTTGTGGAGGACTGTGAACGAACTTAGAGCTAACAGAGTTTCTCCAGTAACTGGACGGAAAAATGTCTTGCAAAGATAGCATCTGCTAATAAGTTTAGAATTGATTCCATCAACCAATGCGTGATCCTTTTTACTTCAGTGCTCAATCATCTCTATTCGCCAAATGTTTTTGTAGCCGTGTTTCGTTTCTTCAGTTTAAATACGTAATATAGCAGCTGCCTTATCTATTAAATGTAAATTACAATTCAGAGAAAGGCCAAAGATTTATAAAAGAGTGTTTATAAATGGATAAGAGCGATGCTGTCAGCTGGTTAAAAAATCTATTGACCAGACAGGCATCACTAAGTACTTATCTTCCAACTTTGTGTTTAAGTAAATATCTGAGTGAACAATGACAGAGTGAATTATGACATTGGGTTCTCTACCAGACCAGGCGCAGACTCTTAACAGGAAACAGTTTATACATGACGCCATACCAGCCATAGGGGTGGTGCGTCACTCCGTTGAATGTGTTGCAAAAAAATGTTCAAACTCCGGATGTTCCGATTGGTTCACTCAGCTCCGGTTATCACCTCATGTATGGAATCACCTTTTATACAAAATGGTTTAACCAAGTGTTACGTGTATTATGGAATTAGTCTAATTTGATTAAAACGATCATTCCATTCCCGCTTTTTTGGATACGTGAGTGGTTATGACCAACTCGGATCTATGTGCCTCGTAGGCCATCTACCAGAGACCTTACGACAAGACTGGGATCAAGTTGTCACAGTTGTTGTTAACGTCTAAAATTATTCAACATTTGCATTAGTTTCGCGGCTTTCCTATTACTTCTTTGCCACTGTTTAGCATGTTTTTAAGATAATATTTTCGTTTAAATACCCCAACAGAGCTCAAAAAAGAGAAATTAATATAAATAGCAAACAACTGGAGCATAGCTATTGAATTTCTAGCCTTCTGATTGGCTGACAGAAGCCATGTTATGAGCTTGTAACCTAGCTTCGAGCTCATCACCTCGCTTCCGAACCGAAAAAAAGGGTCAATGTCCGAGAAGTGAGGAAAGGGACGTTACTACCATTTACGTTCAACCATGAAGCGTGAACATTTTTTTGTGCAAATGGTAGTAAAGCAGTCAGGTCGGCAACGCCAAGGAAGACGTTGATTAAATAATTGATTTCTACTTTTAATTAGAATTTCGAAAATGGCTGCATGTG